AACCCTGTATGATGAAAATATATTTGGTGTTTTTTTTCTGCCTTAATGTTTAAATGTATTCTTTCAACATCAGTCTTGAATCTTAGACCTAAGAACACTATGATAGTTAATTCTTGTTAATAAATATTTTTTGTTCCTGTATCCAAAGTGCTTTTTCGTGTTAATAGTACTGCAAGTGTTTGATGCAAAAGCTAATACATGGTACTTACTCAGTAGAAGCTCGTCGATTAATCATTCTCATCTATCCTCAGCCAGCCTGCTTCCTTACTCCTTATTTAGAACTAGTCCTCATCATGGTAATAGTTGTTACCCAATGGGGTGGGCGGGTTTTCTGATTATGCGTCTGGCCCGTGGGCCGGCAGTTTGACACCCCTGTTATAAAGGAAGACTTTGGGCCAACTGCAGTATTAATCAAATGAGAAATATTTAATGCACTTCTGTTTGATTTAAATAACATCCAACAATATTTGGATGCCCTGGGTACAAGGAATAAATTTCCATAAATATTAGCCATCACATTTTAATTCCATTTAAGTTTACAGCAGTTAGATCCTGTATCGATTGCTTTCAATTGGGCTGGGCAGAGGCCTTCACTCCTTGGCTTCTCTAGCTTTAAATCTTCCTTCCTTCTCAAGCACAGATGAGAGGATCTGAATTTTTTTTCATCTATCAGATTAGCTGCATGATCTGTTCAAGAAACAGTAAAAAATAATAATTGAATTTTGCTGTAAGACCAAATAAAATCTACAGCGTAAAAGCACTTTTGCAATCATTTAGATTTCTTCCATACCACAAGGGTACAAATGGCAAGTTATAGGAGTTTTATTATGGCCTGTAGTAGTGCAGAAAGAAGGAAGTTGCAAAATGCAATTGGTTAAAGGCACTTGGAATTTTGAATAGAATAAGTCACTGGGCAAAGATAACATGCAAAGTCTTTGGGCATCCTCTGGAAACTATATAAGATTAAAAAAAAGGTAGTGAGGCTATAATTCTTTTCCATCGGAGAATCAAGTATAGCATGTGAGTCTGAACCAAGCTCCAAGATTATTTAACTGGCTAAAGGAATTGTATTAGGGCTGTTGTTAAATAAAAGAATGGGGGCAATCTGCAATAGTCACAAACTGCCATTGTATTGGGTGGTAGATTATTTCATATGCCTGAAATTCTCTGGCCAGATTTCTATACAGTAGGGAGGGGTGGTCATATGGAATCCTTGAAGCTTCTTGAAGTTGTATCCTCACTTTTTGCTCTCTAATTATCAAGCCTCAGCATTATAATCTCCTGCCAAACTCTTTTAGGAAATACATGGCATCATGGCAAACATTACACCTTCTACATGCTGCTCCCATTAGGATATGTCTTCTGGACTGGCTAATAACCGAGCCAGTAGAGGGCACCATAATTCACAAGAAGTGGTTCCATGGACCACAGTTAGCAGCTGTGAGGAAATCTCTTAATACTGACATTTTAAGTTACACTAATAATGTCCTCAGTTAAAATGGAGGGGAAATGTAGGCATTTATTTGAGTGGGAAGCTATTACAGTGTGTGTGTGTGTGTGTGTGTGTGTGTGCGCGCACACACGCACACACACACACACACACACATGTCTTAAGTGTTTTTTATGATGCACCCGGTCGGCCTAAATATGGGAAGAAGAAATAGCTATACCAGCTTCCCTTTAACTCTTTGTTAGCAATCCAAATATAACACATAAACACACATATATACATACACATAGTGCCTATGTGTGTGTGTGTTTATGTGAGTGTGTGTAAGACTGGTTTTACAGTATACATTGTATGAATCCAGCCATTTTACTAAGGAAGCCATGATTAAAGATTTGGCAGAATATATGAACCAAGTCACAGAAAGTACTTTCTCTTCAGCCTGTATGAGTAGCAACAGGAGAGGTTTTTTTCCTGAAATCAGGCCACATAACTAATCACCACAGGCATGGCCCTCCCTCTAGCATTTTTGCCATAAGAGCGAAGTCTAAACCTTACCTTCAGATACATGTAGTTAATGAGCAATGTTTGCAGGACCTTCAAGAGTGGACTGGAAAATAGGACTCCACCTTGTATTGATATTTTTTCCTTTTTTAATTTTATATGATTGTCACAACTTTGAAGATGCTGTCTTTGTAATTTTGAATATTAGGAACCACAGTGGTAGGAACAATAATGTGAAATGGTAAGGTTGGAATTTGGTTTATCTTTGATTCCTTTTTGTTGCTGTTGTTGTTGACGTCTGGTCTAGTTCAGTCTTGGTAAGATTTGGGAACTGGTTTGCCATTGCCTTTGTAACCAGCCCAAGGTCACCCAACTGGTTTCATGCCTAAGATGAGACTAGCATTCACTATCTTCTGGTTTCTAACATGATGCCTTAACTACTACACTAAACTGGCTGTCTAAACTACCTATACAGAGTTTAAATTATAACAATCATGTGTTTCTATCCAAAAATAAAAGTATGCCTGAAGCATAAATCTCACTATGTAGAACTGAGAAATTCTGAGTGTTTTTAACTTAAGGAAAAATGAAGCACTGAATATACTTAGTTCCTATCTGAAAATGGAGCTGTGCTTCCAATAGATAATTTGGAATATATACATATTTGGGTATAAATCTGATACTTACTCAAGAAAATTCTAGATACAGGAATCAATAGATTCATCCTTAATTATGAATGACCTAAATCTAAGTCATACCACAATCCAATGGAAAGAGAGTAAGAAGGATATAGGGAAGGATGTATATATTTGGTGTTATACAGTATCTCCATCCAGATTCTCCACATAAGTGAGTGACAGCAATTTTTGCAAATTTTTTATTCATCCACTTTCTCATTCTTGTTTAATTTTTCACTTAACTAGTTTATCCATATCTCTCCATCTCATCCTTTCATCATCACACACTCATTTTTATTGAAGACAATAATTTTAATTGTATTAATTTAATTTCTTTCATGCATTTATAATTCCTTAATAAGCTTTCTTTTTAACTTTGCAAAATAAATATATTAACATTTCTGTCATTTATATACCATTAATCTACATGGGTCCTATCAGAGTACATCAATAAAACAATAAAATTAAAGCAATAATAATGCATTATAATAACAGAACACGCACTTATCATCCCTCACTTGCAGCTCTGTCTTCTTCACAAGGTTCCAGAAGGCCATTAAAGTAAGTTCTGATCTGAGCTTGCATACAAATAAGGGTATGTCTTTCTGTCTTTTGTCCTTATAAGAACACGCGTCATATTTCATTTTATTTTAATCATATTAAGTAGTGTCACCTGAGACTATGTCTCACACATCAATTTTTATGGAGTTGGGCAAACCTTACCCTCCTAATAATGTAGGACGCATAAATTTCATCTTATTTAAATATTAAAAAAAACAATCTGTCAGGTCCTCCCTCCCTCTTTACAAACCAACATGGATTGATTTATGGATGTGATGATCTGACCATTGTGTGGGTCAAGAGGTCCTTGGACTCCCTATTAAAACCAGAAAATTACATTGCTGATGTTCAACAGGAAATCAGATTACAATAAAACATGAAGGAGGCTACCCCAAAAAAAGTTGTAGATAGACATTTTCCCAATATCTTTCATTTATGGCTATCCTGGCTAAATCTAAGGCTCCTGTCAGTTATAGGCCATACATTTCCTAGTTTCACTTTAAGTGGTAAAAAAATAGAATGAGATTGGAAAAACATGGGAGCATCAACTGGCTGGGATGTGGGGAATTTATTTATATAGATGATTTATATAGCTGCCCATTTTACCCAAGTGACTCGTCAGCTTACAAGGATTAAAACAAAAAATGCATATTACCATTGCCCCCATAACCGATAAACAAACCCTAGTAACAGGGGAAAAAAAGCTAGCAGAGCTCATTTATCTACCTAAATGCTTAAGGAAATAAGACCTTGTGAAGGGATAGCAGGGTTGGGACCATTCAAATGTCTCAGGAGATGCTGTTCCCACAGGCCAGATGCTGCCACTGAGAAGGTACAGCTTCAGTGTCAGACATGATGGTGACTGTTTCTTACTGTACAAAGCGTCAGTTTGATCTAGTGATTAAAGCTCCAGTCTAGAAACCAGGAGACAGAGTTTAGTTCTGCCTTAAGCCTGAAAACCAGCTGGGTCACTCCTGGCCCAACCCACTTCACAGAGTTGTGGAGAAAATAGGAGGACAAAAGAATATTAGATATATATATATATATAATAATGGTGGAATAATCATTCTCAGGAGAGTGCCAATTTGGAAGGATGGAGAAGAGGCTTGTTTTGTTCATTTATTTCTTCTGATTGGTTATGATTTCTTTTTATAGATATATAGTTAGTTTATTTGTAAGCTGCCTAAAGTTTTTAAGGAGATGGGTGGCCTTGAAATGGGATAATGGCAAATAAATAACCTTGTCACTA